GCAAAAAACAGCTGGTGGCTTGGACATGAAGGACTTTTCTCTCTTCGACAAAGCGCTTTAGTTAAACTGGGTAAAACGGGTTATGTTCTAACTCGGATGCTCCATGGCAGCACATGACAAAATCGCTCCTAGCCAACGTTGGCGGTACGGAACTGTTTAAATGTAATTATGATTATAATCTCCTTGACCTAGACAACCATCTTCCTGCTTTCCTACAAACAAATCATTTTTTCTTTACTGGCAGGACATCGCAACGGCCACACCTAAAAATAAAAATGAGGTTCTCCCACAGCCAATCTGGAATAAAAGATTTGTACTTGTTAATAAGAAGGGATAAAACAAATCTGGGACATTTTTTATTCCTGTGAAGGCCACCTCCTTCCGTTTAATTCCTTTTGCAATAAATTCAATGTAACATGTAACTTTTTACAGTATTATAGCATTCTTTCTTCTATTCCTCAAAACTGGATAAAACTGTTGCAAGAAGGTTCCAAAGACCCAGTTACGCTTCCCACCTCAATTTGTTCACTGACATGCAAGACAGTATAAACTATGCTGCTTAACCTTGAAGATCTACCTCCACCCACTCGTGAGAAAAAGCTTTTAGCGTCTGGCGTCGAGAAAAATGACAACTAAAATCTTCCTCCTACCATTCAAAATCACAAAAGAAATTAAATTGACGATGCTCCAATATAAAATTATTCACCGAATTTTACCAACGAATAGCTTGTTACACAAAATGAAAATATTGCCTCGCCCTCCTGCCCCTTTTGTCCTTCTGAGTGTCAGACCACGTGGCATTTGTTTATAAACTGCACGAAGGCAACTTCTTTTTGGAATGGATTTCAGGAGTGATACTCAATCTCTAGTGTAAGTGACAAAAAATTATTTTTCAGTGAGGCTTTGAACACTTCATGTAGAAACAATAAAAAAAGCATTGTAAGTAAATGCGCGATAAATTAATTAGTATTAATAATTGTATTGTAATAAAGGTATTGTAAGCAGCGTAAGTATAAGTAGTGTAAGTGTTAATCTTGTAAATAGAATTGCATTGGAGAAACAAAAGGTATGCATGGTGGTGACCGTGGATGGGGTATGTAGTTTTATCAGCCATAGTAAGTGGACACCTAGTGGATTCCATTTGGCCATAGAAAACTGGACGGTCAATGGACGAAAGGCATGGTTCCTGGTCCCAAATACCAGTCTGCAAGTAAGGAGACCCGTGGCTTTAAAGAGGACGGGGAGTGAAAAAATGCGAGGAACTTACAGGCTTCGACTATTTATCACGAGTCTCTGGCACTAGTAGCTCTGCAAGAAATAAGATCATGTAGTAGCAGTAGTATAGTAATGACATTTTATTTAAACACGAGATATACTGCTCATAAATATTGAAAATCAGCTGGTTTACATGATATTTATAGACGTGTTACTATATTTCTTTCGGTGCTGCTGTTCGTACTACAGTATCCTTTAGGGTAAAACAATTTGGAATTTTGCAAATTTAAAACCATTTTGATGATGGCTCTGTTTCGGGAGAGTTCAGCGTTCATAGTGCAGGAAGGTAATCTGTAATCGTTGAGTGATCAACAACGAGTAAACATGTCAGACAAATCTGTAGGTGTCAGATCACTGATTTACGGGAAATGTTAGGCAATATAGTGGTATGAGTTTGGTATGGTTGTGTAGTGCTGTACGGATTATGTGGACTATATTTTTTATCAGGAAACAGTAGTGATACTTCTTCATTTCTACTTTAATTCTTGTATCTGGTAATCCTGGAAAAGGGTCAAAGACCGTAAGCTGACTTTGAAAAAGAAAAATTATAACATACATTAAAACAGGACAACAAGGTTATTTTAGTCTGATTCTCGAACCCGTCGGAGAATCAGGATACACGTTTTTCCGGCTGAACAGAATTATTTTGGACAGTTACTGAAATATCGCAATGAGTGAGACAGGTACTGTACACACTTTCACTTTCCAAGTGCATAAAAGTTTCAA